GTGATTACAAGTGGAACTCCTAGACTTGTAGAACTAGGTGTGCCGAGTTTGGGTTCGTTTTGTTAATTACGATGAGACCGATATATATATATATATATATATATATATATATATATATATATATATATATATATATATATATATATATATATACAAGAATTGCTCGTTTAAAGGTATAGGATTTTTTCCTAAGCCAACAATTAACATTAGTTTATATATCATTTACTTGTTATTGTATATCATGTGCTTATTATTTGTATGTTCCTATAATGTTTTGTTGTTTACAAGTTTGTTTCTTATCATAATAATTATGACATTGCGTATTATCTTTGTTTTCTTTTTTCTTTTTTTGTTCCTAAGCTTAATATTTACTTGGGATTATGTTATATATTTTTAGTGCTTGTTCTTTAGTTTCTACTTAGTTTCTACTTACACTTCTTTAGTTTAGTTAACCTGTTATTTTAAAAAAAAACTAAACTTAAACTAAAAAAAATTAACCTATAACTAAATTAAAGTTAACTTAGACTAAAATATTGTACATTTGTAAATTGCTATCTGCTTTATTGTATAAGTTCTTACATAAATTAACTATATTTTGCTGCCATTTTCTTTGCTTATATTTTAATGCCAAAAGAGCAACTTCAAAAAAATAGGCAGGCAATTATCATCTGCTTTGATAAGTTTTAAGTGTTTTGCTGCTATCGTCACAATCATGTTGCACTCGGTCTCATACCTTATTTTCCCAAAACGTTGGTCATATACCATAATTATAGTATTCTTCATAGTCGCTTCTTACGGTACTCACGGGAGGTTAAAAGGCGATGGTATTACTTGCTTTGCCATCGCAGGATAAAAATATGATAAAAGATAATAAGTTATAAAAAGACAACGAATAAAACAAAAAAATAATAATTAGAAATATTTCTGCTCGTCAAAATATTTCAACTAATATTCCAAATAAATTAAGGACGCGTTTACAAAATGGATAGGTATAGAATCGCACTACTACATTGACAAAAGTCACACACACACACTAGTGTACGCACGGTTGGCTGTGGGAATCGTAGTCAAATGAAATTATTTTGATAATTTGAAAGATTGAATTTGTTTTTCATTTCTTATACCTACCTCAGAAATATACTTCGATACGAAATATGAATACCTGCTCCAAAGACTGCTTGGCACTGGAAGCCCTCTACTGGTAGTGAGATGTTAGCTCTGGACTTTGAACTGGTTTTGTCAGTTATAATAAGACCTTACCTACCTGCGGACTTGATGGAGTGACCTGAAGGTGTAATTTGGTGATTACAACAATAGGAACTCCTAGACTAGTGGAACTAGGTGTGCCGAGTTTGGGTTCGTTTTGTTGGTTATGATGAGACCTTACCACCGGACTTGATGGAGTGACCTGAAGGTGTAATTCGGTGATTACAAGTGGAACTCCTAGACTAGTAGAACTAGGTGTGCCGAGTTTGGGTTCGTTTTGTTAGTTATGATGAGACCTTACCACCAGACTTGATGGAGTGACCTGAAGGGGTAATTCAGTAACTACTGCTGGAATTTCTGAACCAGTAGAACTAGGTGTACCGAATTTGGGCTCCGTTTTGTTAGTTATGACGAGTCCATACCTCCGGACTTGATGGAGTGACCTGAAGGTGTAAATCGGTGATTGCAACTGGAACTCCTAGACTGGTGGAACTAGGTGTGCCGAGTTTGGGTTCGTTTTGTAGGTTATGATGAGACCTTACCACCGGACATGATGGAGTGACCTGAAGGTATAGTTCGGTGATTACAAGTGGAACTTCTAGACTTGTAGGACTAGGTGTGCCGAGTTTGGGTTCGTTTTGTTAGTTATGATGAGACCTTACCACCAGACTTGATGGAGTGACCTGAAGGGGTAATTCAGTAACTACTGCTGGAATTTCTGAACCAGTAGAACTAGGTGTACCGAATTTGGGCTTCGTTTTGTTAGTTATGACGAGTCCATACCTCCGGACTTGATGGAGTGACCTGAAGGTGTAGTTCAGTGATTACAAGTGGAACTCCTAGACTTGTAGAACTAGGTGTGCCGAGTTTGGGTTCGTTTTGTTAATTACGATGAGACCGATATATATATATATATATATATATATATATATATATATATATATATATATATATATACAAGAATTGCTCGTTTAAAGGTATAGGATTTTTTCCTAAGTCAACAATTAACATTAGTTTATATATCATTTACTTGTTATTGTATATCATGTGCTTATTATTTGTATGTTCCTATAATGTTTTGTTGTTTACAAGTTTGTTTCTTATCATAATAATTTTGACATTGCGTATTATCTTTGTTTTCTTTTTTCTTTTTTTTTGTTCCTAAGTTTAATATTTACTTGGGATTATGTTATATATTTTTAGTGCTTGTTCCTTACTACACTTCTTTAGTTTAGTTAACCTGTTATTTAAAAAAAACTAAACTTAAACCAAAAAAATTAACCTATAACTAAATTAAAGTTAACTTAGACTAAAATATTGTACATTTGTAAATTGCTATCTGCTTTATTGTATAAGTTCTTACATAAATTAACTATATTTTGCTGCCATTTTCTTTGCTTATGTTTTAATGCCAAAAGAGCAACTTCAAAAAAATAGGCAGGCAGTTATCATCTGCTTTGATAAGTTTTAAGTGTTTTGCTGCTATCGTCACAATCATGTTGCACTCGGTCTCATACCTTATTTTCCCAAAACGTTGGTCATATACCAAACTATAGTATTCTTCATAGTCGCTTCTTACGGTACTCACGGGAGGTTAAAAGGCGATGGTATTACTTGCTTTGCCATCGCTGGATAAAAATATGATAAAAGATAATAAGTTATAAAAAGACAACGAATAAAACAAAAAAATAATAATTAGAAATATTTCTGCTCGTCAAAATATTTCAACTAATATTCCAAATAAATTAAGGACGCGTTTACAAAATGGATAGGTATAGAATCGCACTACTACATTGACAAAAGTCACACACACACTAGTGTACGCACGGTTGGCTGTGGGAATCGTAGTCAAATGAAATTATTTTGATAATTTGAAAGATTGAATTTGTTTTTCATTTCTTATACCTACCTCAGAAATATACTTCGATACGAAATATGAATACCTGCTCCAAAGACTGCTTGGCACTGGAAGCCCTCTACTGGTAGTGAGATGTTAGCTCTGGACTTTGAACTGGTTTTGTCAGTTATAATAAGACCTTACCTACCTGCGGACTTGATGGAGTGACCTGAAGGTGTAATTTGGTGATTACAACAATAGGAACTCCTAGACTAGTGGAACTAGGTGTGCCGAGTTTGGGTTCGTTTTGTTGGTTATGATGAGACCTTACCACCGGACTTGATGGAGTGACCTGAAGGTGTAATTCGGTGATTACAAGTGGAACTCCTAGACTAGTAGAACTAGGTGTGCCGAGTTTGGGTTCGTTTTGTTAGTTATGATGAGACCTTACCACCAGACTTGATGGAGTGACCTGAAGGTGTAATTTGGTGATTACAACAATAGGAACTCCTAGACTAGTGGAACTAGGTGTGCCGAGTTTGGGTTCGTTTTGTTGGTTATGATGAGACCTTACCACCGGACTTGATGGAGTGACCTGAAGGTGTAAATCGGTGATTGCAACTGGAACTCCTAGACTGGTGGAACTAGGTGTGCCGAGTTTGGGTTCGTTTTGTAGGTTATGATGAGACCTTACCACCGGACATGATGGAGTGACCTGAAGGTATAGTTCGGTGATTACAAGTGGAACTTCTAGACTTGTAGGACTAGGTGTGCCGAGTTTAGGTTCGTTTTGTTAGTTATGATGAGACCTTACCACCAGACTTGATGGAGTGACCTGAAGGGGTAATTCAGTAACTACTGCTGGAATTTCTGAACCAGTAGAACTAGGTGTGCCGAATTTCGCTCCATCAAGTCCGGTGGTAAGGTCTTATCGTAACTAAGAAAACGAAAACAAACTCGTCACACCTAGTTCTACTAGTCTAGGAGTTCCATTTGTAACCACCTGATTACACCTTCAGGTCACTCAATCAAGTCCGGTGGTAAGGTCTCATCGTAACTAACAAAACGAACCCAAACTCGGCACACCTAGTTCTACAAGTCTAGGAGTTCCACTTGTAATCACTGAACTACACCTTCAGGTCACTCCATCAAGTCCGGAGGTATGGACTCGTCATAACTAACAAAACGAAGCCCAAATTCGGCACACCTAGTTCTACTCGTTCAGAAATTCCAGCAGTAGTTACTGAATTACCCTTTCAGGTCACTCTATCAAGTCCGGTGGTAAGGTCTCATCGTAACTAACAAAACGAACCCAAACTCGGCACACCTAGTTCTACCAGTCTAGGAGTTCCAGTTGCAATCACCGATTTAGACCTTCAGGTCACTCCATCAAGTCCAGAGGTATAGACTCGTCATAACTAACAAAACGGAGCCCAAATTCGTCACCCCTAGTTTTACTCTGCAAGAAGTTCAAATAGCGGTCACGAAAGTACACCTTCAGGTCATGCCATCAAGTCCAGAGGTAAGGTCTCATCATAACCAACAAAACGAGCCCAAACTCGGCACACCTAGTTCCGCTCGTCCACGAGTTGCAGTAGTAGGTAAGTTTATATATCCTACTTATTTTTAGCTAAATAAAAACTGTGAGTATAAAAATAATAATTTTATCACTTGTCAAGTACTTATGTTTCCAATTTGTTTTTTTTCTAATATTTTGTGTATGTACAGCGATCTTTTCAGAATGAGCCGCTGCAAACAGGCGATACAGTGTCCACTCACGACGGCGGCCGAGCGCGGACTGTGGTTTCATCGAAATTAGCGTTGCCAACTCAACTACTTCAAAATATGCTAGACTGGTGTAAAAAAATATGCCAAAAATATGCTTACCTTCTCTAAAAAATGCCAAAAAAAAATGCCAACATAATTAAGAAGTATCAGTATTTATTGAGAAATTAAATCAAGGGAATAGAATATTAAGGTCTTCATCTTCATCAACATCAGCTGATGTGGAAGGCTGAGAGCCGGAGTCGTAATACTCTTTGGTTCCGATACTGCGTAGTACATTGTCTGGAACAGTGTAAGAGTAACAGCACTTTCCTGCTCTTTTTAGGCCGAACCTAACGTACAAAATGGCATTCAGGGTTCTCACCGCCAAACGGTTTCGGAGTTTTGTTTTTACCAGACTCATTTGGCTGAATACACGTTCAACGTCCGCATTTGAATGTGGCAATGATATAAGAGACATTGCAAACTCACATAACTCTGCAAAGGGGTTATTATCAGCTGCATCTTTATATTGCATGACTTCATTCCAGAACTTTACTGTGGAAGTCAAGGATTCCCATTTAATGTGAACTATATTTCTCCATTGAGATACCAGTTTTTCAATCATAGGTGCATTAACTCGGAACTCTTGGGCTATTTCGACAATGGATGGCTTAACTACTTTTAAAGTCTCTTGAACTGAAAACATGGATATCTTCTGAAGTATTTTAAAATTAACCGGTAATCTCGAACGTAGTTCTGTCACAAGTTTCAGTGTGAAATTATTACAACGTTGGCGTAAATAGTTTGCTGCATTAGGCTGAAGATTGTATTCAAGTAATTTGGTCTCAAAAGCATATCCCATGTATGGTTTCGGATCTAAATAGCTTTCTATGTCTTCTGTTAAAATATCTACCCTTGCCGTTGGGTTCAGAATACGCCGACCTATCGATTCCACTAAGCCAATCAAATCATTGTACAATCTTGTTGGGTCAACATCGTTACTTTCAAACAACTTGTTTACCACTTGAACTTCCTGTAAGATAGGTCTTATGTATAATAAGTACAAATGATTCTGTGGATCATTATACATGTTATATAGTATTTCTGCCGTATAGCAGTGTTCATCTCGCCTGGCAATTTCAAACAGGGTTTTTAATTCTATCCATTGATCAAGAATACGGCAGACCGCTGGTTCAATTGATATCCATCGGGTATTGCACATCTGTGGAATTGTCAATGGAACGGAGCCACCGTTGATCGTTTGAAACATGTTTTTGTAAAAGAGTCTTCGGTTTGATGAATGGCTAAACCAGTTATAGGTTTCTCTTATAAGAAATTCAACATTTTAGGGTTTCTGCTGAAGCATGAGACATAGCCAACTGTAACGAATGACACACGCAGCGGACTAACACTAAATTGTCATTACCAGTTGCATTTTTCAACAATGCGTGCACTCCACTGTTAGTTCCTGTCATGACCGAAGCGTTATCCGTGCCGATACCGATCAATTTCTTTAAATTTATTTTTATTTCTGCCAACAATCCTTTAATGCCGTTCACTATGCTGACTGCAGTTCCGTCTTCAATCTCAACTAATCCCAAGAATGTGGAAATTATCTTTTTTAATGATCGGCTGAAATATCTTATCGAAACACCAAGCATTTTAAGTACCAATATATCTGTCGATTCATCGATTAAGAGACTGTACTCCTGATCTCCTAAATCTGTCACAATTTCTTGAATGAAGTGTGGTGCCAAAACATTTTTAATAATATTCGTGCATTTGGTTCGATGTAACTTGATGTCGCTGTATTTGCTGTCGACAAATCGGTATTTGCATAGTTCCGATAAATGATCTACAGCCATAATTGCACAGTGCTCGCAAACAAACAAAGCCAGCGAAGATTCTGCTTTCTGGGTATTCAGATCTTTTTTTACTTTAGGGAAGTTAATTTTTTTGACTCTTCATTGGCTCTATTGCTTTTCTGTGCTTTGCTGATGAAATATGTAGCCTCAAAACAGACAATTTTGCAATCATTTCGCATTTACAATACTTACAGTACGCTTTCGAAGTATCGTTTTCAACGGGCTGCAACCACTCTTTAAAGTCTGCCATTTTCTCCCAGTCTGCCCGGTAATGTTGACTACACTTAGGCACCATAATAAAAATATCAAATTATAAAAAAGGAACACGAAAACACGGATAAGACGAGACGACGATATGAGTGAGTCCACATCCACAACGATAAACAATGTTTTTGACAGAAAGCGACGTAGGCGCTGGGGAATGGATAATAGTAAGGGAATTCTATCCCATAGACATCACCCTCACAAAACTGACCACTCTCTAGAAAGAGACAAAGTGAATACGCGGCCAATACATGTGTATTTTCTGCAAGGCGCAGGTAAGGCGTAGAAAGAGACAATAACTGGCGGCACATTCGCTTTGTCTCTCTTGTACTTCGTCCATATTTACTTTATACCTGAATAAGGGCTCAGTCCATTCTCTATGTCTAAGGGGAATCCCGTAGCACAGAGAATATTATATTCGCTTCAAAAAAAGGGTTGCCATGCTAGTGAATCACTAGTAGTGAAGTGGGAAATTGATTGAGGTAGGTATCGATATCAAATTTTATTTCAAGAAAGATTGTAATTTACATTCTTTTCATGTTTTATAAGAATATGCTGAAATAATATGCTATATGCTAAAAGCAAAAAAAATATGCTAAACAAGAAGAAAATATGTCAAATTTAGCATATAATATGCTAAATTGGGAACACTAATCGAAATCTTTGTACAATAAATCAAAGCAGGCACCAACAATAAAATAGCCCTTATTGCAATACATTATGATTCATCCGTATTACCAAAATATGTGAAAAAATGTGCATCAGTTTTTATTTTTTTTACGACTATTTGTGACATTTTGTTAAAAAATAAACCCAGGGTTTTTTAACTGAATATGTCTGTCATCTTATAGTATTTTTTTAAATTTTTTAAATATGTTGATAATAGACCAAAACATGTACCGAAACACAAGCCGGTATCGTTAATTTTGTAGAAAATGGCAACGAAAGTTCGTTTTTACAATATAAAAAACTACTATTTTCAACAAAAGAGTTACAGACATTTGCAGATGAAGAACCAGTCTATACATGGTAGTTTTTACTTATATTTGATTTGGTTTAGTTTTGTCACAAAATCTACCGAAAAACACCCTAATTTTGGTTGATTTGCAAACGCGTCCTTAAAACACAAATTTTAAAAGCGTTCAACACTGACAAAGAGGTGACACAATTTCAACGAGGAGTGTTCTTATTTGTGCAATTTAATTTAAATAACAATGCGATTCATATTTAATTTCCAGTTTCACAGCTTTTCACGCGAAATAATTTTATTTCTACAAGTGATATACGTTTTGTAAAATAACGCGAAAGATATTTGCGTGTTATTTGGCTATAAATTAAAAATGATCACATTCGAGTCGTAAGTAGCAAGTTCTGGAGGAGGCGCCGAGAAAACATCTCAGTATGTATCTACATAACAAAATAATAAACAATATTAGGTTTGTTAATTAAATAACACAAAAAACTAAAATTTTATTTAATCGTATATGATTTACCACGTGCTTCTTGAAGTGAAGATTCATGCATGTCTAGTAAGATGATGAATGCAGATAACTCAGTTGACTTGTGAAGGGCTGACATGGTGATGATAATAATGATGATAGTGAAGGAAATAATCGCGAAGATACCTACATCCCTGAAATTTTTAAATATTTGTAGGACTTGTTATGAAGGCCTTCAATACGTGTTAGGGTAGCGGTGAACTCTTCCCGGTATTAAAATCGTCTTAATAAGCAGGAAGAAGGCCACGCCCTGTCGGACGTAAGAAGCCTATAAGAAAACAAGCTGTTCGGCTCAGCACCAGTTAGTATTTGATAGTCTCTGATCGTTTGTATCCAATCGAATACTTGTGACTGGATAATAACCGGATATTTGTTGAATCTTGTGCTCATTATCTCTACAAACATTAAAATAAATCGCTTGTTTATAAGTAATCAAATAATTATTAGGTAGACGTGGTACCTATCTTTTTTAGATAAGAAATTTTTCTATTTTATGAGCGGTTAAGGTGTTCACGGATTTTACCAACTTTTTAAGCACCGGTATCGTCACCTTAGATTGTTTCATAGACGATTAACTGCTATATTATATATAGATATTTATCATCAGACTTGCCACGCTTGGCAGATGTGTTAACAAGTGCAGTTTTTTTTTAGTTGTTATAAGGACGATGCTGCTATCCATTTCCTGGTGTTTCCTTCTGTTCCCTCTAACGACACCCACGGGATGATAGAGGGTAGTCGATATTCTTACACCGGGATGTTATAATTACTTGACTTAACTCTGTTTAAAAGGCACATTTATTACAAGAGATTATCTACAAAGTAGTTTTGTGTGTTGTTGTTACCAGAGTTAGTTTGATTTTATTGGAAATATATTAAAAAGCTTTTTCTGAATCATTGTAGAGAAAGAGTGAAATTACTTTTATTCCATATAGTGATAAGCTCGTACAAAAAATAGTTTGGTCTTTTATGACTACTTACCTTATAATGGCGGCTTCTCACTGCGTGTGTTATCAAACACCGCGCCACACGCGCCACGCGCAGTGTAAAGGGCTTGGCGCGGCGCGGCGCGGGCAGGCGTGGCGCGGCGTGTGATATCCGTTTAAAATCGGTAACTTCAAAGGCGCGGCGCGACGCGGACTTGCGCGGCGCTGCGTGTGCTTACAAGATTGAACTCTTTCATTTCGTCTTAAATCGTCCGACGTTGAGGTACTCTCATGTCTATATAAATATGGAGTGTTCGAGAGACGATTGCTGAATTTTTGTTGATATACGAAAGCGAACCCTCTCTGTGGAATTTGAAAAGTACAAAGCATAAAAACAAAAACGACCAACACGATGCCTGGCTACTAATCAATACAAGTTACATCGACTTACGGTAAATCTATGTAACTCGGTCTAATTGTTAACATAGGTATCTATGTGATTAGATATTGTTTTGATTCTTGTTCTGATCTCAAAATCAAAACAAGAACTAATCATTATGATTGATGACATCAGTGCACGAATAAGATATGTTACCAGCAATCTGTTTAATTCGGTCAATTGAACAAATATTTATAATATTTAAATGGCCTATCGTAATATTTAGATTTACAAGTGGTGTAAATTGTGATCTTATTCAAGGGTATACAGATAGACGGTAACATACGTAATTATACAAGTTGTTACAAAAAGGGTATACAGTATGTAAGGGGACATCATTCTGTAAAATGAAACCATAAATTCACACCACTATTTCGAGTTACATTCCCAACGAAATGATACGTCGGAAATGAAGAAAAAAATCGTCTTTCTATACAAATTACGCAACTAGCTGACTTAGTATGGAAAGTCGAAAAAAAATTGTTTCCGACGTATAGTTTACTTGGGAAATTTACTCAAAATGATGATATGAGTTTATGAATTCAGTTTTCCGGATGATGTCCCTTACACGGTTTTTGTAACAGCCTGTATTGACACAGATATATGTGTTATTTGTACTAGAGTCCTACAAATGAATTGTGGGAACACATAACAGCCTTACTATAATTTCTGCATAATTTATTTTCTAGATAACTTTAATACTTATTTTGCCATGCAACGGCATCGTTTGTTATAAAATATTCTGCAAATTGGTCTCTTATATCCTTGGCGGAAAGAAGCGTTCTTCTTGGACGATTTTGTAGATGCAGTAAGGAATTAACTCCGTTTTGGTCGTCACGTTAAGAACCGGGTTGAACCTCACCATATTTCTCAGTATCAAAGGATTCGATAGGGCTATATATAAGTCTAGACCTTTTAGACCATCCCAAAAGGTTTTCTTAGTACTTTAAACACTGCAGACATAATGCCAAAGACGTTTTCAACAATCCTTCGAGCTCGTGAAAGGCGGTAATTAAACACGCGGTATTTTGATTCCTTATTATAAGTTCCAGCGTAAGGTTTTATCATATTTTTGGTTAGAGAAAATGCACTGTCAGCAACAAATACATAAGGTACCTAACTCATAGAAAGGCGGAGGCGGTAGAGTCCAAGGGGGAGGCATTGGCCGTTAGTTTAGACATTGCGAAGATCTTCGATCGGGTTGGGCACAAAGCGCTTCTTTCTAAGCTCCCTTCCTATGGGCTTCCCGAGAAATTGTGCAATTGGATCACCAGCTTTCTTGCAGATCAGAGCATCAAGGTCGTTTTAGATGGTGCAAGCTCCGATTACAAGCCTATTAATGTTGGTGTTCCACAAGGCTGCGTGCTATCGCCAATGCTGTTTCTTCTGCTTATTGTAACGCTCCCCCCTCTCATAATAATAAATATATTAAATATATTATATATAGTAAATTTACCCTTTTTCAATAACATTATATATATGTGACCAGGATAAATAAGATATGTTTTGATCTTTTAAATGATCTTTCAAAAGGTTTATTTTTTCCGAAAGGCCGTTTGTAATATTTTGGCGTGATCGTCTTAGTTAGGACTCTTATTTACGTTGTGTTTGTTTAGTAACTTAGTTCTTTTAGGTGTCTTTTGGAAGAATGAATATTCACTAGAGCAATTGAAAGCTGTTGGTAGTGCCTTATAAGCTAAGTGAATTCACGAAGACAGGGCTCGAGAAAGGTTAAGAACATAAAACGTCCTTATTCCACTTGTAGGTTTACATTATTAATTTATTATTATTTATCCCTTCCCGCTCGAAAAAGGCTCAAAATATATTTATACAAAATACCCGATACAAGGGCTTCGCTCTCCTACATTTATT